TCAGTCAGGTTTCAGTGGGTCAGCAGATCAGCAAATGCAATGGCTGATTCTTTGGCCAAGCAAGGGGTGTCAAGGGGAGATCTGTTTTGGGCCACTTTGTAACTGTGTTTCAGGCTTGTGTTTGTTTAGTGTTTATGACTCAGTCCTAGGGGGAGGTAACACCTCGTGCCTCTTCCTAGGCTCAATGTACTACTATTTTTTGAATTAATAAAGCTACTCTCATTTATCAAAAAATAAATAAAAATAAAATAAAAAGAGTTCAACTATGGTGCAGAAGCTGCACAATAAAGTAAACACTAACAAAGATTTTAACAATGTCAACATTAAAGATGTTAACTATGACATTTCACTTTATTACTACTTCACTTTTTTTGCTTCACAGCGAAGTTTATGCACCATACGTTCTGCCATATAAAAAATCAGAAACGTAATATTATATCCTATTAGCAGACCTTCAATAACTCCATCTTAGACCATCAACTATTGCTTATAAATCTATTAATGAGCAGCTATTGCTTATAAATCTATTAATGAGTAAAGTGAAATATCATTCTACATGATTACCACATAATCCTACTCAGCACCAACAACCAAACTGAATATCATGGAAGATAGTTTTTTTATCATAACAAATTTTGTTTTAGCGATGGTATCTATATATGATCATTACAAAAAGAGGAAGGATGAAACCTCAAACATAAAATGAACCATAAAACAAATATAGATATGAATTCAAAATAAACTACAATCTCCACCTTGAATTAGTCTTGAATTAACTCCTAACTTGGAATTGGGGTTGTATCAATTTAAGAAAGTCTTTGTGAGCTGTGGGCCGTGGCCCAATTCATTATGTACGAGCTAATGTATTAGCATTCTTTTGTTCAATAGACACAATTGACCTTCAAATATTCTTTGATTTCTGTCCTTCCAAATGCCCCATTTTACTGCAAAAGGAATATCTTCCATAAGATAGCTCCCCTGGCTTGAAACAAAAGTAGTTAATATTAATGTATGTTCACAGATTTGCAACTGTAGGCCTCTCTTAATTATATAGATGACCAAAAGATGTTAAGGAAAATAAAAAATAGCTGTCACAGTAAAACCCATAGTTCCTATCAAGTAAGACTTGTTAACATCTGGACCACGTTATGATGGAACGAAGTTTGAATAGCGGCAGAAGTTGTAGACAGAACAAAAGAATGTAACAAAGGGATATATATGAAGAGGCAATGAGAGAGGGGAATAAGATGATGGCATTCTCTATTCTGCAGTTTGGATGGGATTGGGTTTGCTACTAATTGGTATTTTCAGGTTGGGGGTTCCCCCTCTGAGTTGGGTATTTCATTATTATTTGCAGTTGGTACTTGGTAGTAGGCTTGCCTCTTGTCTCAGTCTGTTAAGTCTGGGGCTTGCGGTGTTCTTGTAATTGCGAATTCTGTGTTGCTTCTCTGGACTCTGTCTTTTTGGTCATTGCTCTGGTATAAATCGTGTATTCTTTCCATTTTGTTGCTTTTATTTTAAATAAATTTCCTTTTACCAACAAAAAACTAAACTAATATTTATAGGGTTTGTAGAGAACACTGATGTGGGCCCCACTGCAGTGGTCCCCACTGTGTTCGTAGAACAGCATGTGTAGTTATTTGTTTCAGTTATAGTAGTGTCAGTTTGAGTCAGTTTGTTAATTCAGTTGTTATTTATTTCAGCTTTTATTTACTTTATTTATCATGTAAGTACTAAGGGCAGATGTGTCCTTTCCATTATGTACT